AAAAGATGACCGGTAAGGGGATCTTAACCCTTGACTTGGTGTTGTCAGCACCACGCTCTCCCAGTGAGCTAACCGGTCATCCCTATATGGGATCCAAACCCGTGGCCTTGGTGTTATCAGCACTACACTCTCTCAAGTGAGCCACGGGCCGGCCCAAGTGTTAGCCAGTTTTGGAGTCCCAAAATCAGGTATCAGAAAATGTCGGGGCCTGGTGGATTCTGGCCACCCGTCAGCTCAGAGAAATAGCTTTGACATTTCCCCGGCCCGGGAGGCAGCTTATTGTCCCCCTGGCTGGCCACAGTCACTGAGCCATCCCAGTGCAAAGAGGGTAAGCTCAGAGCTGCTCTTCGGGGCGAGAAGGGGTGTGTGTGGCTGCTCCTGGTAGGGGATGGATGGGTTCTCACACCCAGCCTCCCTCTTTGGTGTTTGTTTTGAGGTTGCCACATTTCCCTCCTCGGGTGGGTGGGGTCTTCTGGCCAGCACAGGGCCTTGGGCTGAGCGTCCCCTCCATGTCCCACAGGGTGGATGCGAGCAGTGAGGAAGCACGCCAAGGGCCTGCACATAGGTGAGTCCAGCAGGCCAGGGAGCTGCCCCAACTGCACAGTGTGGAGGCCCTGACGTCCTGGCCTTCCTGTGGGTAGACAGTGGGCCCTAGGCTCTTTGCATGTTCCTGGTGATCCAGGCTGGGCTGGGCTGTTCAAGCAAGGGTCGCTCCCCTGACTGTTCAGATGCAAGCTGGCCCTGCCTGGCATTTACCACCATGGTCCACCTGGAGTCCTGGGCTCTCCCGTCCACCCAGGCCGTGGCCCACCAAAGCTGGTGCCTCCTTGACCAGTGGCTTTCCCCATGCTGTTCTCCCTCCCATTTCTTTCTTCCTTCACCCTACGGGTGTTATCAGGGCCACTGGGCCAGGCTCTGGGCTAGGCCTGAGGTTGATGCTAACCCTGCTCCACCCAGGCCCCTGTAGCTCACAGCTGGTGAGGGAGGGACACATGTCCCAAGTGCAGTAGAAACCTTGGGGTTAGAGGATGAAGAGTGTGGGGAGGGGGCTGAGGAGGCTCAAGAGCAGGAGACCTGTTCCTCCCTCGCCAAACTGTGACTGACTCTGCCCTGAAGTCCAAGAGAATGCCCCTTCCAAGGGAACAAGTGGAGCAGGTTTCCCAGACAAGCAGACTTGGCGTTTCCCAGTCACAGGCTCTACGTGTTTGTCTCCCTGCCCCGCAGTACCTCGGCTTCTTTTTGAAGACTGGACTTATGATGATTTCCGGAACGTCTTGGACAGTGAGGATGAGATAGAAGAGCTCAGCAAGACTGTGGTCCAGGTGGCAAAGGTGAGGACTGAGCACCTCTCCGGGCCTGAGCACCCAGTCCCAGCTAGGGCTCCTGCGGGGCCAGCACTGGCCATTCTTGTCTGGCTTCCTCCTTGGGCACCTTCAGGTACAGCCCATGTCTTCCAGGGAGGATGGCATCAGCCCAGCTCAGGCTATGTGCGCACTCTTTTGAGCACAGGGTCCTCTGGGAGTCCCAGGGATGGGAGACTTGTTTGTTGGTGCATGAGTGGGTAGGATGCATGAGAGTCCAGGTCCCCTGCTCCTGGCCCCTATGGGGACCCACATACTGCTCCCTTTGGAGAGGTGTTTCTGGGCATGCAGCATGGGCTGGGGTCATGCCTCCTGAGTGATTGGGCTGTGACCTCACCTGTCTTTCCGTCCATGCCTCCTGGTCCCAGGCCCTCCTCACCTGCTCCTGTTTCTTTCAGAACCATCATTTTGATGGCTTCGTGGTGGAGGTCTGGAGCCAGCTGCTAAGCCAGAAGCACGCGTGAGTGGGCCATGGTGGTGGTGGAGGTGGGGCCTCACAAGAGGCGGAGGCCTGCTCAGTGAAGCCAGGAATGGCCACTGGGCAAGCAACTAGCTCCAACTGCATTGTTGTGCCGGCCCCAACACCTCTTGTGGGTGGCACAGGGAGGGCAAGGCGAGTAGAAAGGTGAGGGAGCTGGTGAAGGTGAAGGCACAGGTGGAGCTTGGACATGGGCGGAGACTTTCTCACTGAGCAGGAAGAAGCCTTCCTGGGGGTATCAAGAACAGGCCAGCCAAGCATGGCCAGGACTGTGGTGTGGACAGCCACAGCCTCCTCTGGGGAGCGCTGTCCAGGCCCACAGGCCCTGCGGCAGTCTGCTGGGAGGAGGCTGCACGGCTCCCCCACAACTCCGTGCTGTCCTCCCACAAGACGCATGGTTCCCACCCCCCTCAGCCAGATTGACCAGGAAGGGAGCGAGTGATGGAAAGTGCCAGAAGCTCCTGCCAGTCCAGCACAGCTTGGGGCTAGCCACAGCCCCGAGGAACAGCCGCTCCTTAGTCTTGCTCAGGCCATCTGCTGAAGCAGCCACCTTCCCTGCTTCTGCCAAAGGGGTCTGTCGTGCAGAAGATGGCAAAGGGATCATTCTGCCCATGACGGGGGGCTGGTGCCGTTCCGGATGCATGCTTGGGAGAGGCTGGTGCAGCCACACAGCAGGTGCCCGGGCAGCGGGGGCCTGTAGCCAGTGTCCAGCCCTCAGCCTTTGTGCAAGCCGCAGGTTCTGGAGTCAGTCGTCCCCTCCCTTTTCTGCTTGGAGGAATTCCAACTGTGCTTTAGGGCTCAGCTCAGAGCCCAGCCTGAGCCACCAGAGCAGGGAGGGCTTAGTTGTCCCCTGCAGAGCGGGACTGCAGCGGCACGTCCTCATCACCCTCCATCCTGCTGCTGCTGCGGGTAGAGGAGCTGCAGGTCCCACTCTGCCCATGTGGAGGCAGCATTCCCTCACCAATCTCCTGTTGCTGACCTGGAGCCCTGTGGGAGGTGGGAGTGAAAGTGAGGGAGATTCCTGCCTCCAGGCCCAGAGGAGGTGTGCCTGGAGCCAGGCATGCTGGGATGCTCTGCCCTTGATAGGGGGCTCCAGCCATCAGCACCAGGGGCCAAGCCTATCTGAGGCCACTGCAGCTTCCCGCCCCATCTGGGCCCAGTGGCTGCCCCAAGCCCCACCCAGGCTCTGGAAGAACAGCCCTGGGGTCCTGCTTCCCTATCCTCAGGCCCCCAAACCGCCCTCAGCCAGGGCCCTCACTTGCCACTCTCTGAGGGTGTTTCTGAGAGGCTCCTCCTCTGTCCACTTCCACCCTAGGAGGGCCCAGCAGTGAGGGGACAAGACAGTGAGAGATGAGTGCAGGATGGGGAGGAGGTGCTCCACAGTGGGGCAAGGGTGCCCACAAGCCTGTGAGAGGAACCTTCCACCTGCATAGCCCCTGAGGAGCCCTGGCTCTCAGCTGTGAGGCACCCCCAAGCCCTGCCTTGGGTCCGTACTGGGCAGGAGGCAGTGGGCCCTGCCAAAGCTGACCTTCAAGCACCCTCTGAGCAAGAGACAGACTGCCAGCTCCCATTATGCTAAGCCTGGGAGCATGGATCTATTAATCACAGATTTGCCCCAATTCATTTCTGTTTCAGAGCATTGAGTAGGCAATGAGATGGAGCTGAAGGGCTGCTCCTCTGGAGACACAGCCTCATTGTGTCTGGGTTCCCAGTGGGTCATTAATATCAGAGTGGGGGGTGAGGCAGATGGTGGTAGGGAGTCGCCAAGCCCGAGTAAGAGGCTGTAGCCCAGGAGGAGGAGGTGAGAGCAGCCTGTGTGGCCCCTCAAGTTCAGGCTCCTGATGGGGAGGTGGGGAGCTGCTGGCAGTGCGGGTACGGAGCTAAGGGGTAGGCAGTGTCCAGACTCTGAGCAGCAAGGACCAGATTCCTTTGGGCATTCTGCTGCCTGGGAACCAGCTCCTGGGAAGAACCTGGCCATGCTGACGTAAAGGGAATATTTAACAAGGCTGCTACTCTGGCTTCGTCTTGCCCCCACCCGTCATCTTTGTGGGTGTTTAGCCTGAATTTCTGCAGCCCCTGGGTCCCAGAAGTGCCAAGTCAGTCTGGAAAGGTTACTGTTGGCAAGCACGCTGGGCATGCATGTGCTCATCAGTACAGCACGGTGATGGCACAGTAGCCCAGTGTCTGACATGGGCTCAGAGTTGGCCCCTATTACTCAGCTCTCCTGGGGATGACGAGGTGTCCAGGAGCTGCCTGGTCAAGCTCCAGGGTCTTCTTTTCAGAGAACTATCTTGCTGGGATGGTCACCCCTGGGCCGAGGCCACCAGCCTGGCATGAGAGGCAGTGAGGGCAGCCCTAGGGCTGGCTGGTCTTGCTGGTCCCCATGAGGGCAGGCCTTGCCTGGGCTCCTGGGTCCCTCTAGGCCTCTCATCAAAGTCCTCTGGGGAAGGGAACAAGCTCCCTTCTCTCCTTAAAATTCCAGGCGGTTTGAACAACTGAAGTGGGTGGTCCTGTTGGCCATAGCCTGTGACACTGGCCAGCTCTGGCCAGAAGCCCCAACTCCATTCACAGTGCTAGGTTCTCAGGCAGCCTCTGATAGCTCCTCTGTCCTCACAAAGTGGCTTGACACCTTTGGAGGCAGTGGTAGTTTCTGGGGGGACGCTAGCCCTGAGCAACCCCCCACAGCATGTCTGGGGGAAGACGAGGACCTCAGGGAGGCGGTGGAGGGATGCCAGCCAGGGGGACATTTGCCCTGTCCTCACCTGCCCCCTCTCCCTACCCCCTGAACCCCACTCCCAGCCTGCCAAGCCCTGAGGCTGGGTGAGGTGGGTTCTGGTCTCAGGCACTGGCCCCTGGACACAGGCTGGGGGGCGGGTTTGCCTGCAGGGTCTGTGACACCCTTGGCAAAACATGCTGCTGCTAGTCTCTCTGGGGCCCTAGGGTGGCCCCTTACACTGTTCCTGTGCCCAGAGTGACTATGATGCGGGCCCTTGAGAGCCCTGCAGGTGGGGAGCACTCTGGGTGACAAAAGGACAGACTACGGGTGAAGGTGCCCGAGGGTACCTGCCATCCTCCCTAAAGGCCAGAGGTGAAGCCTGCCCCCAGGCTCTGCTCCCAGCTGCGGTCTATGCTTGCATTGCCACCTGCAGAGTGGGTGCTGGGCTGGGAAGGGTAGCCAGGCCTTGAGTGCCCTCAGTCATGGCCACAGTTCTTACATGGGTCATGGGCCCTTAGCTTGAGAAGTAATAGCCTGAATTGAGCCATGTCAGGGAGATTCTGAGAAGCCACCACCATCCACAGTTGGCATGTACCAGGAAGAGGCCCAGGGCCTCAGAGGGCTGCAGCCGAAGACCCAGCAGCCTGTGTGTCTCTACCCAGCCCTCACTCACTCTCTGCAGAGTTGTGCTGGAGCACAGCGCAGGGTGGGGGCAGGGAGTGGTACTGTGGCCCAGCTCCCGCCCCAGCCTTTGTCCTCCTCCTGGCACCCGGCGAGGGTGGGACTTGTCATCTGCTCTCCAAGCGGGGCTGCTTCTGAGGGGCCTGTGGTGGAAGGGTGAGGGTCTCCCACATGCAGAGACAGCAGGGCCAGCCCACAGTGGATACATCACCCTGAAACCTGACCTTGCAGTGTCATGTGAAGAGAGCCACCTCAGGGAGGGACTCGCGCACAGCTTGTGTCAGGTGCACTGGTCAGCTATCTACACACTGCCCATGCTGGTCAAGGGCATAAGGTGGGCCCAGGTGTGTCCTGACAGGTGTTCCCAAGCTGTGCCAGGAGGGAAGCTGGTGTCAGTCCCTGGGGACACACTCCCAGCAGGCTCTGAGACACTGCTGCCTCCCCACCTCTTGGAGCCAGAGGAGGCCTATCACCTCCCTCTCCGTCCATCCTCCCCCATCTGGTGGCCCTCTGCCCACTGTGACTCCTCTCACATGTCCAGCCACTCCAGGTGCTCTGCCCCGTCTTTCCTTCCCCAAGCCCTTACCTGGTGAGGCCATCAGAGTGACCTGCAGGTTTTGTGGACCAAGGCTGTCCGGGCTACCCTTGGTCAGCACTGGGCTCTCTTGGATCCCTCCTCACCTGCTGTGTGTTTTGGGGGATCCAGAGCGTGATGTGCATGTATGGGCTCTGTCTCTGGCCATTTGGGTCCCTCTTTCTGGGTTCCCCCTGGGGTGCAACACAGATCCCTGCTCTAGGGGAACCCCTGAGCATGAAGGTGGTCTGGGGCTCTCTGGGTTCTGGGCAGGGCCCACGGAAGTGGCGGGGAGGCAGCCTTTATCCCCAGCGCCCTTCACAGGGTCCCTCGGGGCTGCCCTGTCTGCATCGCTTGGGGCCACACCCAGAGGAAGCTTCCATCAAGTGGGTCTCGCCTGCCCTGCAGCAGGCCACACCCAGAGGAAGCTTCCATCAAGTGGGTCTCAGCGCGGCCTCGGCATTGGCTCTGCTGACCTCTCGGTTCTTTCAGGGGCCTTATCCACATGCTAACCCACCTGGCCGAGGCGCTGCACCAGGCCCGGCTGCGGGCCATCCTGGTCATTCCACCTGCCGTCACCCCTGGGTAAGTGGCGCTTTCTCGAGGGGCAGAGCCAGGGGAGGCTGTTGAGGGCCCTGGGGGTGTGGGGCAGTCAGCGCAGGGCATTGGGCCCTGCATTGACTGAGCCCCAGGCCCCCTCCAGTCAACCCCCATCTGTATGGAAGCTGTGTCCACGGTGCTTGGAACATGTTACCAAAGGGGAGGGGCTCTTCTCAGCAGGCACACATTCTCTCCTGCAGTCCTTAAAGACTGTTGAGAAATCCATTACGGTGAGAGATGGTTCGCTTTGGGCTCACTTGCCTTGCACTCAGAGCCTTGGAGCACTGAGTATTTGGTGCTTTAGGTTGAATCTGCACCCCCCGAGCCCAGCCGGGGCTGGGCTGCACAGTCACAGCTACCATCATCCTGGGCGACCGACTCATTCACTTTTCCCAACCCCATGAGGCAGCTTTTCCAGAACCCCGTGCTGTGACTCAGAGCCTTGGAGCACTGAGTATTTGGTGCTTTAGGTTGAATCTGCACCCCCCGAGCCCCCTGTGGGAGGTAAGGCCACAGCCGGGGCTGAGCTGCACAGTCACAGCTACCATCATCCTGGGCGACCGACTCATTCATTTTTCCCAACCCCATGAGGCAGCTTTTCCAGAACCCCGTGCAGCTGGTGGGGGCCACTCCCATGTCCACTCTGCCACAAGTGTCTCGCCCTGTGCAGGGCACAGAGAAGGGTCTGATTCATGACGTGAGCGCCAAGGACAGCCCTGGGGGCCGAGTGAATTGGAGCAGGCCTGGTGCAGGGATTGCAGAGCCCAGCTGGGGCCAGTTGGGCGTGCTCCAGGACATCGGGGTGGGAGTCCCGAGGTTCTTCCCAGCATCCACCAGAGTCTGAGGCCAGCCCTGCCTGGTCAGCCATTTGGCCCTCAGGTGAATGCTGCGCTTCCCACCCACTGCTCTGGAAGGAAACAGCAGCAGAGCGATGAGTGTGGGCTCAAGGGATCCTTAGACACTAAGTAGTGGGATGTGGTTAGGCCGCCTTCAGGGCCCGCAGGTGGCTGGGGTGGTGATGTTTCAGTCTGATAGAGATACTCACGCAAAAGAGCCAGTTGGTACTCACCCCAAGTGCTTGGGCTGCTCCCTAGTGCAGCGCACGCCTGGCCACTGCCCACCTGCAGCCCATGTCCCCACAGGCTTGGCTGTGCAGACAGCTCAGAGGTGAGCATCCCAATTCCAGGTGGTTCCTGTCCTGGCTGCACAACCTGAGCATTGGCCCTTCTGACTTCACCCCAAGCTTTCCAGGGTCCTCAACCCATCAGCGTGGGCTGCAGCTGGGCTCTTGCAGACTGATTTCAGTCCTGAGGGCCCTACTATAGGTTGGGGTGGGCAGTGCTCAGAACTTCCAGGCACTGGGCACACGCAGGTCCCTGTTTCCCATGGGCACTGATGACCCAGGACAAAACGCTGGATAGCAGGAAGCAGGAGAATTGCCTGTGACCCCAGGGGCCATTTCATGCATGGCCTGAGCTTCTTCCCACACGCACTCACAGGATTCATATATGGGGCACATGTGTGCTGTGCGTTCCACTTGTCCTCATCTTTTCAGTCAGTGTTGTGGAGAGACCCCTGGTCATTACCCACTCGGGGGTCCTGCTCTAGACTGAGCCCAGATGCCCCTCCCATGCATGGCTGGGCCTCACTGAAGCCTCTGGGCACTGCTTGCCACCTCCTTTGCTCTGCCGGCTGGCGCACCTACAGGGTGCAGGGCAGGGAGGTGACCAGCTCTGCGAGGGTTCCGAGCCCAGGCTGCTCCTGCAGGCCAGTGGGAGAGGCCTGTGTCATTCCCAAAACTGAGTCTCTTTCTTCTTTGATGTGGGGTACTTACAGTGTCTAACCTGTGTCCCAGTGTTTGCCCAGGGAGGAGGTTTTGGGGGTGGTGGTGCGGCCATGAGGACATGTCATTCCTGAGCTGACAGCAGCAAGAGCCGGAGCTCCCAGGTCCTCCAGGGGCGGCAGACACTCCTGGGAGGGTGCCCAGAGCATGGCGCTTGTTTCCTGGGTCTCCTGACTTCAGTGGGGGGTTGGGGTGGGGTGCCACAGCCAGGAGACTCACTTGCCCTTTACTATCAGAGGGTGGCCTGTGGGAGGGTGCAGCAGCAGTCTTGGTGGGGACAGGCACAGGAGCCCAGGGCAGTTCCTGAAGCCTGGCGGGGGGAACACCCTCTGGGCCTGGCCTGGGTTCATGATGTGGGCAGCTTTCTGGGGGTGTCCTGTCTGCCCAAGAATTGCCGCCCAAGCTCCCAGCCCTAGGCAGGAAGTAGACAGTGGGAGCTGTTGGGGGAGGCCAACACCCTGCTCCTCAGTGACCAAAGTACACAGCTCCCTTGGGAAGGCCGCCTGGGGGGCCCTGCAGGGTGGGATGTCTGGAGGGAGGGGCCCATGGGCAGTGTGGCTGGGCTGAAAGTGGGGCAAGGCCTGTAGGTGTGGGTTGCAGGGGAAGTGGGACCCCAAGCTGACACAGGGGCCAGGCACTGCCGGTGTGTGTGAACTCACCTGGGCAGGTTTGCGGCTGAGCCCTTGGGGCTAGTGGGGCCAGTGAGGAGGCCCCGAGCTTCTTCCCGAGGTTCTGGCTGTCCCCTGGGAATCTGTTTTAGTGTTGATTTTTATCCTCCCCTGAAGAGCCGTGCTACAAAGGAGCCTGATAAAGCCCTCTCTGTTTTCTGGAGGAGGACATAATTATGCTTGTCATTCACCTCACAAAGGCCGCTGTTCTGCTAGTGCATAGACTTCCAGGGCTTTGCTGGTGTTGGCAGAACAGTAGCTCCAGGAGGGAGGTCTGTTTGCAGTGGCGGTTTGGGGAGGCAGCTTTCAGTCACCAAATGCAAATTCTGTAAACAGAGGCAGCCTAACTCAGCTGCTGGGGAGAGGGCTCGCCCCTCAGAGGCCTGGCCCTGGAGCTGGGCAGCTGTGTGCTGACCTTGAGCCCTGCTCCCAAGGTCACAGCCTCCACCCTGCATGATTGCTGTTAGCAGTGGATGAGACCAGGGGCAGAGCCACAGTATCAAAGAACTGGTAGGCGGGTTTGGGGTCTTTAGGAGATCCAGGTAGAACACAGCGTGCTGCCCTTGCAGCGATGAGGAGGGTGGAGAGCAGGAGGCCCTGAGGGTGGGGCTGACAGTCCCTCCCCAGGTCTCTGAGGGGGTGGGGGAGAGAAGGCTGCTGGACCTCCACCCATGGGGTGAGCCATCTCGGTGTCCAGGAGGAGCCTTTTGGAGGCCACAGCTGCACAGTGTGCCCCCAGATGCCACCTGGGGCACCTTCCCCAGCTTTGGCAGCCGTGTGGTCTGGGGTGAAGGGACCCACATGGCTGAAGAGACTGGTCAGGCCCCAGCCTGCAATGTCAACCCATCCCGGCTTTATGGAAAGGAAGGGACACCCACAGTGAGAAAGAAGAGGTGGTGGGCAGAGGGTGTGAGGTGACCAGGCAGCCCACCCCGGGGCCCTGGGGTGCAGAGCACTGTCTCATCCCAGGCAGGCGCAGGGCATCATGGCCAGAAGCAGGGACCGTGCAGCCATCTGGACTGGGCACCTGGGTGAGGACATGAAGCCAGGTTCCAGTCAAAAGGCTGAGTGGACACTTACCTCTGCCGCCTGCTTGGGGCCTGCCCCTGATGGGCTAGCTGACTGTGATGTGTTTTTCACTTCTTCCTCCCTCCTTCCTGGGCCTTCATTCCTCAGAAATGAATTCAGAACATATTTTTGGTGTGAGCAGTTAACTTGTTTATTGAAGTCACGCTACATCTCATCTGTTGACGAGCTGTCCTTGTGTCTCCCAATCACATAGATTCTCTCTTGTCAGGATGCTATGGATCACAGAGACAACCAGCTCAGCTGCCGGGTCCTCGGGGTGTCTGGGGGTGGCCATGGTGAGGCACAGGCTGGAGAGGGTTAGTCCCAGCAGTAGCCTCGTAGCCTCGCAGGCAGAAAGAAGGGGACAGGCCTGGTGGTGCCCACCCCACCCCCTGATGACCACCACCATGTCTGCTGTGCTCTTGTTGGTTTGTTACAACCCTTTGAAACATGAAGGTCATCCCAGTCTGTGGCTGCGGTCAGTGCCCCAGTTGTAAGACATGGGTGATAGGTCAGCGACCAAGCAGCTGTGTGAGTGTCTGATGGCAGCCATGCCACACCACGTGTTCATCATGTGTGGGTACACTGTACTCAGGCATGCGTGGAGCCACATACATGAGCAGGACTATGCTTTCTTCTCGGGGGCCTCGTGGCTGTGTCCTTGGTGGATGTGTGGGGGATGTTCTGTGGTTTCTGTGCCACCTGTGGCTGATGGGAGTTGGGCCCTGGACACGTAGCCACAGCTGCCTGAGTCTCACAGGATGAAGCCAGCTCTGCCAGGAGCGCCTGATGTGGACATAAGGTGGTGGAAGTCTGGTGAGGCCCTGATGTGCACACACAAGAGGGGATGGGGTGTGGCAGCACCACGGGCATGGCGGGACTCAACCCTGGTTCATAGCGGGAGGCTGCATGTCTGATAGCAGCCGGGGGGAGGGGAAGGCCAGAAGAGCCAGGCACCCTGGTAAGAGCATGATGGACACAGGAAGGGGTCAGGCCATGGGACAGACCTTTACAGAGTGGAAACTGCCCCTGGCAGGCTGATAAAGGAAGGGTGGAAGGTTCCGGGAGTTGGGCCAGCTGCGTACTGTATGTAGGATGGAAGGGCAGCTACGAAAGACTCCAGAGTTCCTACCAGAATGTCGACACATTAGAAAACTCCACAAGGGAGCAAAAAGTAGAGCCTCCTGCTGGGAAGACACTGCAACCACATCACCGAGTAGGAGCAATTTGACTGTCGAGCAGAGAGAGGGAGAGGGCAAGAGAGAAACTCGACACAGTGGTGAGGATGCACCGAGGGCCTGGGCAGAGGCGGGCAGCAGACCTGTGGTCTGAAACTCAAGAGGCTGCGGTGGATCCCTGCAAGTAGCCAGTGACAGGCAGAGAGCTGCTCAGCCGCCTCAGTAATGAGGGAAACAAATTAAAGCCACAGGGAGATGCCAGCCCATGTGCAGCCAGGCTGTGATGCAATCGATGCAACAGTATTGAGTGTTGGCTGCCGGGACATTGCATGCCACGGGAGTGTGGTGGAGGACCTGTGTGCCTGGGACCCCCCCAACCCCACCCGGGAAGGGCTGGGCATGCCTGGGAGCGTCCAAGGTAGAGCCCCTCTGAGTTAGGTTCACAGACATGCAGAGCCCTCATGAGGTGGGATGCAGACAGTCTTTTCAGAGAGAAAATTCGGGGCACAGCCCTCGCCTGGCGTGTCAGATTATGGTGGGCGTGACTGGCCTGTGCAGAACTTGATAGAGTTTCTCTAACATTCACTATGTTTGTCTTCGTTGGCTCAGGCCAACCTTGTCAGCTCAACAAAATACCACAGACCGGGTGGCTTAAATGACAGAAATGCATCTTCTCACAATCCCGGAGGGTGGAACTCTAAGATCGGGGAGCCAGGAGGGCTAGGCTCTGGTGAGGGCCCCTTGTGGTGTACATGGCACCTCCTCACCATGACCTCACATGGCAGAGAGAGCAGGCTCTCAGTGTCTTCTGACAAGGGCACTGATCCCATCCTGGAGCCCCACCCTGTGACCTCACCTAACTGATACTGCCTAATTGCCTCCCAAAGAGCCCACCTCCTGATACCACCACATTGGGGTTAGGGCTTCAGCATATGGATTTGGCAGACACAAGCACCCCGTCCATGGTAGTATTTAGTTCAAGTAGTTAATAGGAGAGGCCTCTGCATGTGGGAGGGAAGCTCCTCATAGTGGCTGGGAGGAGCCCTGTTCTTCCCGGGAGGTCTGCCCAGGGCTGCCTGCTCTTTCCTGTAGCACCAGGTCCCCTTATTGGTGACAAGTAGTTAATAGGAGAGGCCTCTGCATGTGGGAGGGAAGCTCCTCATAGTGGCTGGGAGGAGGGAGCCCTGTCCTTCCCGGGAGGTCTGCCCAGGGCTGCCTGCTCTTTCCTGTAGCACCAGGTCCCCTTATTGGTGACAATGTGGTCTGTCCCCTTACATGCTGTGCTGCGAATGCCCATGGCTGGACAGAAGGGAGCCGAGGGAGGAATTCTCTGTGAATTGCAGCCACTGCCTACGAATTCTTAGTGCCACAGGGTGTGCCCACTGCCTTGGTTCACCCGTAAGTGCCCAGCCCNCCCAGCCCTAGCCGGAGAACCTCTGGTCTGGGGAAGAATGGACCCAGTAGGGGACAGGACCACTCAGGGATGGAGGCAGCATGCTGCCCAGAGGGCAGGACTAGGCCATCCACTGTGGCCAAAGGACAGGGAAGGTCGTTCCTGGCCAAAGCCAACTCCCGCCACTGGTCCCTGGCTTGGCATTTTCCAGGAGAGCCAGCCCCCTGCAGGAACCCACGGGCACCCTTGTCAGTATCTCAGAGTGGGCACCCCATGTCCCCACCGGCTCCTGGCCCTGACCCCGCGTGTCCCTGAGCCGGGCTTGCCTCCCACTCTGGGGCAGAGCCTCTTGCCCTTTCACCCCCGTTCTTCAGAGGCTCTTCACACCCCTGCCATCCACCTCGTACTCTGTCCCCTTACCCTGCCTGGCCCCTGCTCAACATCCCAGTGACCTGGTGAGGGAATCAGCTGCTGTCACAGCCCTGCCTGGAAGATCCGCAGGTGACAGTGAGGGTCGGCTGGGCATTGGCCATGCCCTGGAAAGGGGTGGGCCTGAGGAGTTGGCCTGAAGGTCAGCAGACAACACTGGACGCAGGAGCTGGCCCTGGGCAGGGCACAGGGTCTTCAGACCTTCCAGGGCCAGCCCAGCCCTGCAGGGTCCCTCAGGCTTGGTCAGAGCATGGTGAGTAGGTGGGGCCAGGCTAGCCAGCCCCAGGCCTGGAAAGAGCAGCTGGTGGCAGGGCCCTCCAGGGCCTGAGTTTACCTAGAGGGCAGCAGTGCCCAGCCTGTCCGTACTAGCCAGACCAGTCGTCCGTCTGCATCCCCCTTCAGGCTCCTGGCTTGGGGGTTGAGGCCGCCTGCAGCCCAAGGCATGTGGTTTACCAGTTTTTCAGAAGAAGAGGCTCTTCTGGGAGCTATTACACAGGATTCATGCCACATCCTGCACCAGGCGTAAATGTCACTGCAGATTGTCCTCCCATCGGGAGGCACCTGCTCGTGTCTGCAGTGGGAGTCTGGGGCGTGATTGGTGCTGCAGTGCAGTAGCAGAGAGAGGTGCATCCTTCCAAGAAGTGCAGGGGGCTGTTCTCAGTGTCGTTCCAGAACTCTCCATGGGGCTTTGCTGGGTGCAGCTTCTC